TGGTGCTTGCTTACCTGCTCGATTTCATTTTTCCCCAAATTTCCCCTTTCATACTCCCTCTCCATTTTCCCAACTCTTCATCTCCCCCTGCCCCCATCCTCCCCTTCTCCAATCATACTAAAATACTAGTATTGATCTAATTATACTAATTTCTTTCACTTTGGCCTAAGCACTGCCACATCTTGGTCTGAAGTATACAGTGCTCTTCCTTCTCCCCGACGGCCCCAGCCTAGATATAACTTCCACCTTCCGTTAGGATTAAAGCGTAGGCATCACAGGAGTCTCCAGAAAGCCCCGCTCCCAAACCGGGCCAGCTGCGCTCTTGTCATGTGTTGTAGCTCAGTAGTGAGATTGCGCCCCCCACCCAGCCCCCAGACTGCAAGCGCTGTCCTCCTCCCTCGTGGCCGCACCTCCTGAGCGGCGCAGCGTTCGCTAAGCTCTTAGCCCACCTTCGCTGAGGGATGGACGGCCGCACGCCCGCGGGAACTGTGCCGACGCCGTGTGTCCACGTGGTGGCGCTGCGGCCGCGCGGTCGGGAGCGCAGCACCTCCTGGGCCCTGCAGCCGCCCGGCCGGATGCCGGCTCTTGTCACCACGCGGACTCCTGGATTCGCAGAGAGGGTCTTCTGGAGTCAGGGACACTGCGCAGTGCTGTGATGTCGGTGATGTACGCTTGGGGACAGACTCCTGCCCTGGCGCTTCAGAAGCTCTCAGCATCGCCCTTCCTCACCGAGACCCTACCCAATCCTGCCTTGCTCAAAACACCCAGGTCTTGGTAAACTTTATGTTTTCTGTTCTGCTTAAATCCGGGTCGTCAGAATTCGAACTTACTAAGATTCTAAGCTATTCAAAGGCTTGGTCCTTCGAGTCATCCCTCACACCCCCACCCCCTGCCCCGGCATAGTGCCTTGAAAACAGTACACAATGAATATTAGATACTGGCTGATGAACGGGGCCACTACATATTTAAATACCTAAGAAGGATGGTTACTATGGGCATCTCAAGTACCATGGTAGGGTGGCAGGAGAGATGTATTTTTTTCCCCCTGTATTTATCAAATTAGACTCCAGAGGTAACTGGGTAGGGTCAGCCTCAGGAGGCAGGACAGCTTGGGATATGGGACTCTCTGTCCCCCTCTTCTTGGATTCTGTCCCGTTTCCCTGTGAGAGAGCTCCGTCAAATCGTGCTCTGACATTCTTACATATTATTCACAATTGTGGTGGAGTAGAAAGAGCCCTGCTTGAGAACCAGAAGCCCTGTGTTTGGTGCTGGCCAGGACTGCTGGGCAAGTCACTTCACCGACCCAAGCCTTAGTTCCCCAGTCTGCAAAATGAGGAGATTGCACCGGGAGATCTTCAGGGGTCTCGCAGTCAAACAGTGTGTGGACCGTGTGGACCACATGGCCGTGTGACCCGTGCAAGTCACCCGATTCCTCTGCACTTCAGTTTATCTGTGAAATGCAAATAATAGTTGTAACTAGCTCATGGGCTTTTTGTTTTTTTTTACACTTTAGCTATCCCTTTTGTCAAGATGATCATGTGCCTGGCACACTTT